AACTTCCATTTCTTTAGGTTTTAATGCTATTCAAGTTTTGAAAGCCTCTAATCAAAAAGAAGGCAAGTGATCCACACCTTAATCTATTCGCAATTAATGTTTTAGATCTCAGTTCATATTCAGAGCATTATTTGGCAGCCAACGACTAGCAATATTTTGTGAAAACTTGGAAATTAGACATATGGCAGGTACCTGGATGAGGGACACTAATTTTGCATCTTTTGATATCTGTGAGACACAGGCAAACCTATTTAAGCAGTGCTGGTTTATAACATTTTCCCATGAGACCTATTCTAATTTTGAGATGCTAGTTGTTATCATTGATTTCATTGTTAGATGTTATTTATTAATATATTTTAAATAATGTCTAGTGTCTTAGGAGCTGTCTCCTCATTTTTAACTAGTTGTCGATATGTGAGAACAAATCCAGATAATATCTGTTCCCTTAAGTTGAACCAAGTTATTATGGGAAGCTACAGTGTTGGGTAGAATACCTTTATGTTTGAAATAGTATCTGTAATTTAGTGTATGCTTTCTGGTTTTCCTGTGTACACTTGGATATGTCAGCTCTAGTCAAGAAATACATTATTGTGAATTAGTTACCTAAATCCATTGTGATGTTTTTGTTTTTTTCTTGTTCCTACTTGGATATACCTCAAGAATTCCTGGATACTGAGGCAGTTGGAAGAAAAAGAAGCTAAAATGTGAATAAGTTGATACAAGAATATACACATAAACAGAAGATAAATATTAAAATCATACACTAGATATTATCTGGGGATCTTACTGATTTTGCACCATTTTCAATTACCTCAGATGACTCAAACTAAAGCAAATTAAGAGACTCCATAGGAAAACTGAGACAGGATTTTATGTTTGGTATTGGATGTGATGAAATTTTTTGACAACCATATTTTTCTAGAAAAAGGTTAGTGTTTCTGTATGTTGTTCCTAAGTTCTAATGACAAACCAACAATCCGAGCTTCAATGAGTTGTATTTCCTTTTCACATAGTACATTTTCTGATTCATTGAACAACATTTCTATGGTGCTCCAACTAAAAAGGCACAGTGTTAATTATCTGCAGGGTGAGGGTATTCAAAGTCCTTTCTCTCTAATAGCAAATAATTTCCATGAAAAAGGATAAGGTTTTCTGTCCATTGTGCTTTTGTTAGATTGTGTAATCCATTGGGTTTTCTTTTTTCCATTTAGTTTCTCATCTTACTGTTTAGCATTCTCAGCAAGAATAGCAGGGTGTCTGTTGATGGCTATCTCTGTGTATTCACTGTTGTTCTTGGTTTACTATATTCTAGAAATAAAAGCATGTTTAACTTACTATCTTCTGCATTCTGTCCCTACAGATTTTGTCAAATGCTTTCTCCAGCTTAATTTAAATGATTTATAAAATATAGCTTTTATCACAGCCCTTAGGAGAGAAATATGTGCCATGTTATGGCCCATGTATCTTACAAATAGGAAAGACTTCTGGATGGGCAGTGTGTAGTTTTCTTAGTTTAGATTTCTTTTACTGCTTCGGAACATATTGTCTTACTCTATCTTCAACAGTCATTTTCTTTCTGGGCAATAAATATATTTCAAATATTTCATCCTAATCCAATTTTCTTGAAGGCAAGCTTACTTAATTTGGACTGTAATCTTTTCTTTCATCATCAATACTACATCTTACATTATTGCTTTTCTCTGAATACCTTCATCTGTGCAGATGCCTTGCTGATAATGAACTTGAGTGGAACTCTGACTAGATCTTCTGTCAAATCTGCACAATCTGTATCTTGACCTCTTTCATCCATTTCCTTTTGCAAATCTATTTCTCAACTGAGAGAAGTTCCTGGAGAAGTTCCAGGCAGCATCATCTTCTAAGAACCATATACTCTTTTAAGCCCAAGGCTATGTATGTGAGACACTATCATAAAACAAACTCAGAACAGAATCTCTTTATCTAGGAACTCCTGATTAAAATCCATTGCTATCAAAATTGTTTAGATTCTCTATTGCTGAGATATTTCTCTTTAATAATAACATTTTGGTCAGATTGCATGCCAACTGCCTGATCATGTCTTACACAATGAATTGCTTTATAAAGACACCTTTTGATTATTCTTTTGGAGTACACAAATTATCCCACCTGACTTTTCTCAATCTTTTGCACGAAGTTAAACAAATACACCTTTTTTCAACAGACGAAACCAATCCTACATCTCTTTGATCAGAATAAAATTATAACCATGACTTCAGTAATGGAGTTTCTTGACTCAAATCTTTCAATCATTTCATATCTTGTCTTGAAAGGCTAACTCATCCATTTATGTGATGTCATAGAGAGTATGCATCAAATCCATAATTGTAGTGACAGTGTTCATAAACAATGTCAAGTGGCTAAATCCTAAGAAGAATTGGAAATTATCTGATCCTGGCATTGCATTCTGTGTCAAAGAAAGTTCATTTTGGTTTTTCTTAAACTAATCTCATAACTAAAGACATTATTGCAATCAATCATACTAAATCACCTAAAAAAGTCAGCACAGTTCACCACTCTGCATCCTTTTGATGCAGCCTAGTTTTGCATTGGGTTCCTGAAGTCATGCTCCATTTCCAAATAAGCAATAGATAATAAGAAACATCAACAAATTATAAGTCTAACTTGTTTTCTTTCAATAGTTAAAAAGTGTTTAACTCCATTTTTATTCTGATATATTAACATTGGCAGATATATACCTTCTTTGTTGTATAGTAATATTGTTAAGGTGTTTCTTGGAAGAATGAACAATTGCAATCAGTAATCTTATAATAACAACCTTTAAATTTTGTATGAAAGGTGAGATGACACAAATAAGCTTCTAATACATAATAATCATTTTTGAAACTGAAAAATAAAGATAAATGAATAGCACGTTCCCTATAATGGGAAAATCAGGAGATGCCTAATTTCTAAACAAATGGGATCATCATAAAGCATAAAAAAGCAAGGATAAGCCAACTAGTCAATGATCCAATGAGTAAAAATAGGAAGAAAGTAAAACTTCATAGGGCCATTAATTGTGAAAACTCACACAATAAAGCTGTTGAATATAGAAGCTGAATTTAGATTTAGAATTACTGAAAATAGAAATACAATAATACAAGAAGGAAAACAAGCAGGATATCACTGCTTTCTCTAATAAGTACAGAAAACATCAAATACTAGAAAAATTCCATTTTTTCATAAATGCCAGATATTTTTTCTATTGTATTTAATTTTCTGAAGAAATTATTTAAATGCCTCTAACATTTATTTTGAAGTAAAATATGGGAGTAATGTTGCCAAATCCATTATCAGTTTGAATTTAGTAGCATCTATGTTTCAAAATGCTCCCTAATCTACCAGTTTTGCTTAATTAAAAAAATATGTTTATTTATTTTTGAGACAGAGAGAGACAGAGCATGAATGGGGGAGGGTCGGAGAGAGAGGGAGACACAGAATCTGAAGCAGGCTCCAGGCTCTGAGCTGTCAGCACAGAGCCCAACGTGGGGCTTGAACTCACGGACCGTGATATCATGACCTAAGCCGAAGTCGGATACCCAACCGACTGAGCCACCCAGGTGCCCCTGCTTAATTTTTAAATTGTGATCATTAATACACTTACATATTTCGTGATCTAGGAATGGCAGGATTAAAAATAGAATTATATTGGCTTAAAACATAAGAAAAAATTTTTAATCATGAATATTGGTTATCTACACACAGAAACATGCTTTGGGCTTTACCCATTTATGATGCCATGAACTGTAAACTATACTTTTGAATCTTTTACTAAAATATTTTCTGTGGGAATAGTGAGTTTCACTTTTCATATATTGCACGGGGCAAATGAAGATCTGGCTTCCATGTGGATGGTTTCAGAACCTACCTGCTCTTTGAAACTACTGCTTCCTTTTGTCATATTACCCACTCAACAACTTTGAGTAGTTCATAGTTTTTTAACTTCTAAATCTCCATTTAAAGTAAAAATACCTTAATGTTCTCCACATTATTCTCCCATAGTGCCTAATTTACCACCCCCCCACCTCCCCCGCAATGGACTCAGATGTTAAACAAAGCTATATGACTATACCTTCAGTGCATGTGACACACATTTGGTCAGTTAACATCACTGGGTAACTTAAATTTGACCTCTGAGAGTGGTAGCGCAGGGACCTTATGGTTATGGAAATCTTCCCATTCGATTTTTCTCCAGTTTTGAAGGTGGGCTTTATTTACCCCCTTTACATATATACATATATATATTATATTCACTACACAGAGAAAAACTGGTCAAAATTGTAATATTTCATGCAGAAGGTAAAATCTTAAGAAGTAGAAATAGGCATTGGTTATTGGCTTATCTTTTAAAATGTGCCTGTCACACAGCCCCTCCTTGGGTACAAAAAGGAAGAGTAAAAAGAATTGCAGTTGTAGCAACAATGAATTCATTAGTTCTTCAGTGATTCCAATGAAAGAGGTAAGTATCCTTTTAGTACCATGTACTGGCTGCACATGCAGAGGCCAAGGGCTTAATGAAGGTCACACAGCAGGGCAATGGAACTTCCAAGAAAGACATCTGAGATTCCCCACATACTGTTCCAAGCTTTAAGAGCTGTAGCCCTTGCTTTCTCTCTTGGTGATCTTCAATGCTTTAAATAGGGGATTCATCCCCTTTGAACCCACAACGATTGTCCCCTACAATGCCTGACAAGGCAGGGTGCTTCTTCATCCTCCTTCTCCAAAATGGTCCATTTATCTGTTCAAGAGAGCCAATGAGGAATTCATATGGCTGGGCTGCTTAATATCACAGATGCCCACCCATATCTCTTTCAGCACCTAATTCCTTCATATGCCTCTTTCTCCCAATGACCCCCTCCCTCTTCCACTTCCCCAATCCCTTCCCAATAGGGTACGTTTTTTTTTTTTTTTTCTCTTGCTCTCTCTCTCACTCACTCTTTTCTGTATCTCTCGGAAATCAGACAGGAGTTCAGAGCACTTTCACTACCTTTTATGAGGTAGATTGTGATGTCATAGATGGGGGCAGGGCTAGTCAACTTTCTACCCACCTCCCAACCTGTGCTGAGGGAGCTCCGATCGGGAGTGGAAGCAGTGATTCCTCCATGGTGAGTAACTTTGCTTTCTAATGTAATCTGTTTCATTGTAAACATTAATTTTGAAAGCAGGTGGATGGGGTTTCAAAGAAGTAAAGATACGACCACTCAAGTCTTCTTTACTTACTATTTGGGCAAATGATCTATTTATTTATTCTTTGGGCAAAGGATCTATTTATTTATTCTTTGTATGAGTCAAGAATTACATAGCACAAATACATTCTTCAAGCATGATCTAAACTTGAGAAGGAAAAATGGTATTTCATTCCTTTATTTCTTAGTCTTTCTTCCCATTGGGAGTGAAAGTCATTGCATATGTGGAATGAACCCATTCTGTAGTCCTTTGGTGAGCTTCTTTAAGGAAGGCTAGTTAAGAGTGTGTATTCTTCTTTGTTTGAAAGATTACAGGGTCATAAAACATCCTTAATTGATGTTGGCCCAGAGAATCAGTCTGCTCTTCTAAAATTATGGGGTAAAATGGTGAAGAAACTGATACATAAAGAATTAATGAACTTGGTTTTGATGTAAACAAATGAAAACTTTCTAATGCAAAGATTAAAATATTTATGAAAACAAAGGAGTCCCCACTCTTGCAAGATTAAGAGTGAAGCCATTTCAAGGCGTCACTACCAAATTTGCTACCTTTTTTTGTTGATGTTGCATGTCATAACACTGATGCTGTTTTGTAAGTTCTCTTCGTAGTTAGGAGCTGTGAAACGTCACTGTTCTTTGTTTCATTTGGGTTTCTATATGCTGATTAATTCTTTTGTATGCCTCAGTATTTAGAAAGAAAAGATAACTGGAGTGAGCATTTTTCCTCCACTTTCCTTATTCTCTCCTGAGTACTTATTAAAACTGTCAAGATACCAGCTTTTATATAAAAGGGCAAAATAAGTTCATGGAGGTGGTTAAATCTTTAAGGGATGCTGAAAAGCATCGGGGTGGGTGTTTTTAAAACAGTTTGGACCATTAGAATGTGAGGCCCTGTTACTTTTCATGGGGTGGGATAAAAGCTTCTTTGTGTGGATCATGGGTATTAGGAAATATATTAAGAGGGTATCATTCATTTTTTTTTTCAAATCATACATCCCTAGTTAACTATGTGTGGATATTGGTGTTGGAAAATTGGAGGCAGTTTGAAAGGTGGAGTCCTTTCTCAGCATTAGCTTTTCTGTTATGCCAAGACCCTCTCTCCCTCCTGCCCTGCCAAATTATGCATTCCTTACAGCTCAAATGCACTAAGGTTAATACTGTTTTTTTCATTACCTGGGGAAGAGTAGCATGGCAACTTCTCAAGTGATTTTCCCACCTACGCTTTCTAACTTAAAGAAGTCACTGTAATAGTAGGGATTTCAGGCACAATAAGGAAAAATGGAGCCATAACTAGCAAATAGGAATACTTAGCTGATAATTAACTATAGTCAACTTAATACTGCAATGTGGGTAACAATGCCAAAGTCTTATATGTTGGGTGATCCCTCTCAAGTCTTTGGCCTACCTTCCTTTAAAACTGCTAATCCCCTCAAACCCAGGTAGGAGGAAACCTTCGGTGCCAGAAAAATATAATGTCTAATCATAGCTCAAGTGTTTAATGTCTTTTATCAACCCCTCATACAGCTGCCAGGTAAGAAATGCTCATATTTTACAAACCCTTGGAATATAATCATCTTTAAACTTCGTGAGTTAAGAACAGTTGTGTTGTGCACTTGTGCAAATTCAGAGAGTCTATCATGGAATGCATTATGCATGCACTTGTTTATCTTCATGTGCATGTTTCATTATAGTGGTGTTCATTGTTTTTAAAATCCATTTGTATGTATCAAAACTCTAATTTAAAAATACTACTGTATATTGTGCTATAAACAAAACAATGAAGTGTAACAGTAATTGCATTAATTTAGGGTCTCAACACTGGCATCATAGTTCCATTTCTGTCATTGACTAATTAGGTGACTGCAAGAAAATTACATAGATCATTTAGGTCTCCATTTTCTCATTGTAAAATGATGATAGGTCATCTATGGGATATATCTTAAAGTATCCCTGCTCTAAAACTGTATGGTTTTATAATATATTTTTCAAGAAATTGCTTATAGGAAAAAGACTGATTCATTGATGAGACATTGTTTTTGTAAGAGACATATAATTGTATAGACCAAAAAGAAAATTTCAGTCCAAAGTTGGTCTTAGAATGTACCCTACATTTGATGGAATGTTACCAAGTGGGCCCCATTCTTTTAAATGGACAATATCAAACCTGTGATATTAGCTATGTGTTGGTTTGGAAGACTGATTTGTTTTTCTAACTCCATAATTTTGTTGTTCTGATTATTTGAGATAAAAAAAAAATCCTTGTCTACTATGTAATGGACAGATTTTGGTATCATTGGGACTATAAAATTTAAAAAAAAGTACTTCTGCAGTATTGTGGGAATTCCTTTGTAGTGTTGGGAAGGGTTGATGAGTAGGGAATTGGTGGGTACTAATGTGTTATGGGGGATAAAAGACATGTGGGGCCTGGCTTCTGCTCTTGAGGAATGTGCAGCCTTTTTGGGTGTCCAGATACATGCCAAGTGTCAACTTAGAGGTGAAGACAGAACATGTCTAAGAACTAAGATACATTCCTGTGGTGTTGGGTAGACTGGATTGCACTGGGAAATTTTTGTGAGAAGCTGAGGGCTTCAAGTCATTTGGAACACAATGGTTTAGATTTGTGTGGTGGCACATAAGGAGGGCAGGGAAGCATTTCAGGTTGACAAGACCATGGAATTGTAAATCTTGCAGAGTAGGTCTTGTGTTTAGATATGGCAAGTATCAAAGCCGTGTATCAAAATGTTTGCCTATAGTCCAGCCCCTCACTTTTCCTGAGCCCCTTTTCCCTTAATCATATGCTGACCTTACAATATATGATACACCTGTTTAGAAGAATTTAGGAGGCTGAAAGTGAGTGAAGTGCAAAGATTATTTATTAAGATATAATTAGGCAGCCATTGTGTCAGTTACACAAAAGGTCACATCATTACAGCCACAACGGAGGAAGAGAACTAAATAAAAGGGAGGAATTAGGTACAGGTGACTCTAGCACTAAGGCATTCTGATTTTCTGACAAAAGTGGAAAAGGATTATCATTTTGGATAAAAGGATTATATTACCATTGAATCATTTAGAAATGTTGGATGGCCATGAGGAAATGCCCACTAGCTGGAGAATCCATGTAAGCAGGACAATTTTCCAAAGCAAACAGAAGGTTCTCTGTGTACTGAGCAGGAATTATGTCAGACTGCTCTCAGACAGCCAGTGTTGAGCAGGTTTAAACACTAAACTGCACATTGTTATGTAAGCCTCCTTCCCCAATGCACTTGGAAAGAGGTTATTCATTTGGGCATGATGTGCCAAATTGACAAGAGAAGCACACTTATGTTTGAAAACTTCTCTGCTGCTATAGATTCATAGGTGGCTTATGCATCACTTAGCATCACTTAGCAGTTTGTTGTATTTCTTGCCATCTAAGTTCCTACTTTGACCTTTTCAATAGACTGGAATTCCATGAGTAGAATTGCTTTATCACCTATCCCAGATTCTAAGGATTTAGTTTGTATCATCCAGTAAAATGTTTCTTAATTTCCTATCATGACATAAAAATTAATTTCTAGAATATACCATCTCAGAAAATACCTTTCAAAGGTGAAATTAGTGTATATGGGAAGGATGAAGTAGTGTGATCAAACTCTGGGTTCTCTTAGAAATAATTTTTCCCAAAAAAGTTCAAGTAGGACTTAGGTAAAACTTAAACAATATAAAGTGTTAAAGGGAGTTAGAGATATAAGAATTATGTTTGTCTCAAAAGAATAATTGCAAAGATGGCAACTGTTCCCCTGACCTCATAGTACCTCTAGAGGTGGTTCTAGTGTCAGATTATAATTCAACAAATGTTTATTGGGTAAACGATATGTGCTATTTACTGACCTGTGTATGAATATGGAATTAGCATGGAAAACAGACCTATAAACAGTAACTACAATAGATTATTATAATCACTCTAACAGAAATACATACAAAGTGATACAGGCATTTGGAAGAGAAGGGGGAAGAGGAAACTTCATAAAGAGGGTAATATGTTTCTGAACCTTGATGTATAAGTAGATAGTTTTCCAGGTAGAAGAGGAGAGATAGGATTAGCTCCGAAGAGAAATACAATGCCTATAGTTTTTGAGGTATAGATGTATTCTGTGCTAACTGGACCTGAAAATGTCAGAGTTGGATGGAAAGATTAAGAAAAGTAAAAAATGGAGTTAGAGGTTGGGCTACATTGGTAAGGGGCACTGAAGAGTCTACTCCTGGAATCATTGTTGCACTATATGCTAACTAATTTGGATGTAAATTTTAAAAAATAAAAAATAAAACAACTGAATGAAAAAAAAAGAAGTTGGGGAAAAAGTGGGGTCTGGATGCCAAAGAAATTTTTCTGATCCATTCGGATTTTAATGAGTGTTTCTCAAAGTGATCAAAAGATCATCTGCATGCCAAACCCAGCAAATGGTGGGAAGAGACTGCTAAAATCCAGCCTAAGATACAGACCTGTTGAATTAGAATCAGATCATAGGGAGTAGGTTCTTAGAATCTATAACTACTCCATCCTACCCCAAGTTTCAGAATCTCTACAAGGCAACAAAACTTAATCATTATATTTCTGTGTTCTTGGAAAAAGTTTCATAAAAAAAGAAACAAAATATTAAGATTAAATATTAGGGAAAATAGGATTTAAAGACAATATAAGAATATTCTTGGGAAAATTGGCTTAAATTTTGATTAAGTATGAAAAACGTTCTAAGAATGGTGATTATTAAGTGTAAAGAATTGCCAAGTGATGCTATTATATCTCCTTGAAGGAAAGGCATAAGACTATAAACATTTAAGACTATAAAAATTACATCTTTCATTTTCATGCTCCAATACAAAGAGTTAATGAAGTCCAGAACTAAGTTCTACAATGGTCCAGAGCAATATTTATT